GAGTGAAAATCCTCCATTTCCGCTCTTCAAACACCGATCTTGTCTAGAACCACTCCTTCCTATACGACTTCACAGTTCCTGATCAGGCGGGAACATTTTGGTATCACTCCCATCTCTGTACGCCTTTTCCCTTGCATCTCCTCTCATCTTCAGAATGGTGATCCAATATCTACAGCTACGCAATATTGTGATGGTCTACGGGGACCTATGGTCGTCTACGACCCCCTCGATCCTCACCGACTCCGTTACGATATTGACACGGGTACGAGAAAATTTCTCTTCCGATCTTTCGCCTATTAACACGTATTCTAGAGGCAACCGTGATCACACTTTCAGACTGGTGAGCACCTCCCTTCTGCCGACCGTCGAACTTACGGTTCTCATGATGAAACACACTAGGTACCACACACCGGCTCTCGCAGCGGGACCAGTACCCGTGTTCGATGCTACCCTGATCAACGGTACGTCAGAACCATCTCATCACATCAACCCTAATATTCTAATTTCAAAATAGGTAAAGGACGTTACGCAGGTGGCGTAAGTGCTTCTCACCTCTTTCTCACACGCTCTTTTCTGACAATCAACCAGCCGACCTCTGACCTCTTCCAACTCAATGTCGTCCGCGGACTACGCTACCGCCTCCGCCTCGTAGCCATCTCATGCGACCCTAACTGGGTATTCTCCATCGACTCCCACAACTTCACCGTCATCGAAGCCGATGGTGTCAACACCCAGCCCCTCGTCGTCGACTCCGTCCAGATCTTCGCCGGGCAGCGGTATTCCCTCATCCTCAATGCAAACCAAAAGATTGGCAACTACTGGATGCGCGCGAGTCCGAACCTCGGAACGCAGGGTTTCGAGGGAGGGATCAACTCGGGTGTGGTGCATTACGTCGGAGCAGCCTCAGGGGACCCGACGGGCAATCAGACGACGAGTGTTATACCTCTCCTCGAGACGAACCTCCACCCTCTTGAGAACCCCGGTGCCCCTGGGTTGCCACAAGCTGGCGGGGCGGACGTCGAGCTCAACCTAGCCCTCGCGTTTGATATCACCGACTTCAGATTCACAGTCAATGGCGCGTCCTTCATCCCGCCCACCGCACCGGTACTCTTGCAGATCTTGAGCGGGGCCAACTTAGCCCAGAACCTCCTTCCTTCTGGGAGCGTTTATACTCTCCCGCCGAATAAGGTCATTGAGATAAGTGCTCCGGCCTTGGCGGTTGGTGGACCTGTACGTATCGTTCTTTTTCGTGTCGCGTTCCCAGGCTGACATTTCGTGCCAGCACCCGTTCCATCTTCACGGTGTAAGATATTTCCCTACCTGTCGGGGCAGACCTTTGTAATGAACGCCGTTTCTAGCACACCTTTGACGTCGTACGAAGCGCAGGGAGCACGGAATACAACTACGCGAACCCGGCAAGTCTTCCCCACTTCCTTCAACCTTGTTTTACGACAACTAACTATACTCCCCAGGTCCGACGTGATGTCGTCTCGACTGGTTCTGGCACTGACAACGTTACCATCCGTTTCACAACAGACAACGCTGGACCTTGGTTCTTGCACTGGTAAACCCCATACCTCGTACTGAAAGATACAATGAATACTAACTACACTGCGTCAGCCATATCGACTGGCATCTGGAAGTGTGAGTCTTCATTCATTTCCTATTATATGTCGTGCTCATATCTCGTTCCCAGCGGACTCGCTGTCGTCTTCGCTGAGGACGTCGACACGATCCAGACGCAAGACCCGCCGAGTACGAGCCATTCTTTCTTTTATCTGTAGCCATGAAGATACTGACAAACAAACTTAACAGCTGCCTGGGACCAACTCTGTCCGATTTACGGAAACCTCACTTCCGACCAGCTGTGAACATAACTCATCCTTAAGTGTTCCGACTATTCTTATTTCTTCTGCGGACATGATTATAAGTTTATTATTTATGTACATCTTGGCAGGCGTCTTATGTATTATACCACTTCAGTCAGCGACGAATGTACATTGTTCTACTTATCAAATTAAATATGGGTTTCCTGTTATGTCGCGAGGAGGGAACGATATATCTTCCAGCTAAGCTCAGCTCCTGAAGAAGAGGTGAAGACCCTTGCCCGAAAGTTGAAACCGCCATATAAAGTCCATCCTACACAGAAGCCCCGGAAAAAGCAACAAAGAACAGTTCTGTCTATCGCCCGTGGCCAACTTAACTGACTCTATATCTGTATAGTCAACTTCGGAACGAAGTTGGACCCAAACTATTCTCCCAACACCATAGCCCAAGGAATAAGCTTGTTTCAGCGCAACGAAACATAGCACAGTCCACTGAATCCTCTTCACTGTTGACATTCACGACGACCACATATCTTGCCACTGTCATGCAGCTCTCCTTACAAGTATGATGACTTGTGGGGTCCGTACGTTCGTCGTAACGAACCCCGCTTTACTCTCCGGGATCGCGTCAACTGTCGGTCATTGCAAGTACCTAATTACAACATATCCAGATAAATCTAGCATAGACCCAGACATAGGGAAATACGTAATGCGATAGGTAAAAATATAACGGATTATCGTTGTGTGTGTATCAGAAGTGGTTGGTCCATTGAAAGCTGTTTAGGCATCAGAGTGACCATCCTGTGCTGTTGAATGGCTGATCCATTCGACCCAAAGTACCTCCCACTTTCGACCGATGAAGATTTTCCACCCACAATAGAGCACAATTGAGATCGCATTTCCGCTCGCTCATGACACAAACCAGGATATTATGAGGAAATTTCTCCGATGCCTGTTCCTTATTATACGAAGCGAGATCCTGAAGACTGTAAGTGTCGCGACTCTCCTCAAGGAAGACTGCCTCACATTGTCAATGACTATCAGTTGGCAAGCTAAGCGTCTCCGATTGACAACGGTTGGATCATAAAACACCTCGTTGGGCAGGTCATATCCGAGCTCTAGCATCGCATACGACGGGTCGATTCCAATGGTAAGTCGACGGATTTTAAAATAGTCTTCCACATTCCAGGCATAGTACTGGTGGCGATCTTCTGCTTGTGCAACTACAGAATCCATGTAACGTCCAAAAGTTTCGACGATGCTTTTCTGACCAAGTGATACTTGATATCTTGATGCCAAGAGCCCAAAACCTGTGGTCGAAAATTGGAATTGGGAAACACAGTAAACGCGTTGGAAACCTTACTGCTGTGCAACAGTTCCAAGAACAACTTCATTACTCGGTCCTGGTTTGAAGGGGTATCTAAGCGCATCCTTGACAATTTCGGCATATTGACGGACTACATCGGGAGTTTCGCTATCCGTGTACTCATCGAAAACGAACAACAAGTTCATGAAGTCGCATGCAGTGCCCAGTTGTTCTACGCGGCGGAAATCATACTGGGTATGTATGTAGGAAAAGGCCTCGTACCTTTGGTTGCTGTCGTATGCGATAATGAAACTAATAAACTTGGAACAGGCAGGTCAGCACAGGTCGCCACTGAAGGGAAACTTCAATAACTGCAGTCATAAAGATCGAATGCGTTAAAGATCCTCAGCTTTCGTAACTCGAAATGACAACTAAGGGCCTATCGCTGGGCTTCCGGTATAAACGCTTCGAACAAGCGAAACCATGCTTCCGATTGTGCCTTCACTTCTTCATAAAGGGGATTGATTTTGTGAGGCCAAGGCCAGTTAGCAGCAGTTTCGTGATGCGAAACACTATGCCAGATTCAAGGACCATATTGGGAGGAAAAATGGGGGAAATAGAGATCGTTCTTGACAACGGATAGCCGCTCTTCCACAGGTATACTTATACCGGGCGGACCTCGAAATGTTGGAGGATCAGGTGTCGCAGTTTGTAGTGCGGTTGACGTCAGGATCTTCGGTTTTCAGGCTAGGAAACTTGTTCTTCTGCTCGGCCTCGCTTGCTGCGTGGTATTATTTCCATTAGGTGTGCGAAGTAGCTAAGTAGTGAGATAATAAGCGACGATAACCCTCGCACGTTTGCGAGGGTTAATGTATATAATGCCTGCTTTACATTTCTACAGTCATCCGATCCTGCAGAATTGCTCTTAATAATGAAAGTCTCTACATGTCATAGAGGATGTCCATTCCACCGTATTGGTATGGTCAGCCCGGTGCACAGTATTCTAAGAAGTGGATGACTTGTAGTCCTGGAGAGAAGGACGACGATCATAAGTGCAATTCCCACCTTGTCCACGAGCTGTTCCACCAGCAGCGGTGCATCCAGAACCACCTCTGTGCCCTCGCTTCAAGCTAGAGCCCTATACTTCTCCGAACGGAATCGCTCATGGGATGAACATATCCGACGTGAGCTATCGACCTCATAGTATTATCTATGCACACGACGTCAAGTTTATGATTGATTGTCCAATGTGCTTTTCAGCAGTTCTCACCACGAATGAGTCCTTAAAAGGGAGTAGTGTTATGTCTTCCAGGGGGATTATGGTCGCTGTCAAGGAGCGGAATTTTGTCCAGTAAAACTGACCAATTTACTCGCAATCTCATGATCGCAGCCATCTTATGCTACATAATCTACTAAGCTGGTCAGCCAGCACTTATAATTATGCAGCCACGGATTGAATTGAGTTGGTTTTGAGGTAGCATATACTGAAGAGAGTCGTACCTGCCAAAATATACTCCCTTCTTCAGACCGGCTTAAAAGACTGTTTACCATACCAACATTGGAAGAAACATAGAAAAGGGACCTATTGATGAATAGCATATAATTCCCTGTCGATACCAGGGTTGAAACTGGCACAGAGGTAGCCACTTTCCACAAGTGAATAAACCATACTACACAAACAAGCCAAGGGTAGGGTTGCGTACGAAACCCCCACTTTTGATACATCCCTGTTTCGGACCGGTAAGTTACCGGTAAGAAACTGGTATCAAACCCCCCTGGAGGTTTCGCGCGCAGCCCTATCCAAGGGTCCGTGGGTGCAGGTGCAAAAAATCTCATTCAGATCAAAATGTAGCGACTATGACATCTACTGGCCAACGTGGGGATCGAACCCAAGACCTTCGCGTTGATACTCTCGACTTAATCAGAATATTAGCACGACGCTCTAACCAACTGAGCTAGCCGGCCGACATTCACTCTTCAACATATGCGTTTACATCAATCTTTATGACGTAGCCTCCGGTCCCCCCCGAACCCCCACTTGACCACTTGACCCCCCCGCACGCTCTAGAATCGCTGAACCGCTGCTCGTAATTTGGATGTGGGTGGGTTCTCGCTCGAGCCCTCGATTCTCGGTCGTTCTATGGTATGGGTATATAAAGAGTGGTGTGTCGATGAGGGGAGGGTCATCAAATCCTTCCTCTGAGTTATTCACGGTTCTGTATACACCCTTCTCCACTTTACGAGTTTGTGTTCGGGTTTTTTTGTTTGGGCGTCCACTTATGATAGGCGTAGAGTCATGTCTGAGATAACGCGCAATATCTGGACCATCGTTCTCATCGCTACTGGCGAAGGGAAGAAGCACCGCTAAAAGGTTAGTCGATTATCTCGCAGTCCCCCCAACCAATTAACCGAGGACCCTCTTTCAGGGCTTACATACCCACACTTTCCCATTCCCCTTCCCCGGTCAATTATTTATTCACCCACTATCGCAAGGACCGGTTCCCCCACTCATCTAAATTGGTACGTTCCCCGCATTCGTGATCAACTCGGGGTCTGATGAAACCCCCATTAGTACCACCAATACTTCTTACTGTGATATCCCAAATGTTATGTACAAAGAGCGCTTGTATGTGTATACGAAATTATGAATAGGAAATTCTAGCGCCAACGTCGGTGTGTAAATAAGAGTGCGGTCGGCTAGTGCCAAGATAATCTACTTCACGTCGAAGGAGGGGTTGTACGCTTTACACCTCTGCGTTATCCTTCAGCCATTTTTGTCGGGCAAAAACGGAGTGCCCTGGAATGATAGCGCTAACAGATATGCTAGCGGGCGTCGGAGGAAAGCGGGCTAGGATACGATGCGCCCAGGTCAAGATATTGGCAATCAAGGATCTGGAACGACGTTTCGCCCCCCGATGTCGGGACGTGATATTATTTACAAAGCCCGAAATAATGAGAGAACATCCAGTACGCATTACCTATAAGATTTATATACTATACGAATCGTCCGCTTTATATAGTATCGATGCGAAGCCCAAAGAAGGAGAAAGAGAGGTTATGAATGCCGATGATGGTGGTGGTGATGACGATGCGGGCGGTGTTCGCGCTGATGATCATACGCAGCGGGGGCTGGGCTATCGCGACGGCTATGTGAAAAGGGAAACACCTTCTGCAGGAAGGAGCCCGAGTGAGGCTGACGCTGGGGCGGCGGCAGAGGCTCGGAATCTGTCGACGAAGATGTGGAAAAGACTACTGGTTGGACAGAAGACTACTCGAGTTGAATGTTAGATCTCGGAGAAAGAGGAAAATGAGAGTACTCACTATTACTTTTGAGGAACGACCTTTCTGAGGGATTACTACGTATCCTCCCGGTGGCGGGGCGTAGGCTACATTGCCGCTGCGGTAGTACTGCGGTTGCGGTGGTGGAGGAGGAGCGTACGGGGACGGCCGCGCTTGGTAATACGGGTTATTATAGCCCGGATAATAAGGCACTGGAGGCGGCGTAGGCGTAGGCGAGACATAATATGACGACCCGGAGCGGTGTTTTGATTGGGAAGGATGTGATGACGAACGGCGGGTTGAGGAATGACGAGTGGGAGAATGGCGTGAATGAGACGGGGGAGGGGCCGGGCCGTGGAGTGGGATTGGTTGGGGACGAGGAGGAGGTGGCGCAGGACCATGGCTGTGTGGCGGCATGGGGCCCGGCACTGGAGCGTACAGCGGTGGAGGCACTCGCTTGCTCATGCCCCGGCTGAGCACAGGCTGAGGAGGGACGTCGTCGTCGCCAACGTCCGAGCGTGGAACAAAGGGAGACTTGAACTCGCAAGCATGGGCCTCTGCATCGTCGACCCAGCGGGAGATACGGCGCATATTCGCCTGGTAGCGCTCAGCAGCCTCTGGTGAAAAGTCGTATTCTGTCATGAGAGAGAGAGAGGGAGGGGCGGAGAACAATAAGATAAATGTAGAGAACGGCGGAGGTATATATATCCACTCCAAGGTTGCGTGGAAACAATTGCCTTGAGGCCCTGTTGCAAAACAAGTGCGATCTCGGCTGTGACGCTTCTTTATCTACGCGGCACGTGTCCGGCATGTGCCTCCCCGCGGAAGCAGATTAGATTCGCACTCCGCAGCTCTTGACGCGCTGCATTTTACAGCTTGCCCTCAAACAGCTCTCTCTGCGTACTGTACTTGCATGGATTAGACTCTCTGCGGCGGTGACTCCAAATTTAACAGCAGGGTCTCCGTCGGACGGGGCTACTGCAAAAGCCACCGAATTCCAGGTCTCACGTTACCGGCCTGGGACGGGAGGAGTATCTGCAGGTCCGGCTTAGGTCTTCTTTCCTAGATCGCCGTCTCAAGCCAAGATGACGCGGCAACCCTGCTCAACTTGGTACTCTTCCAACTACGTTATCGGAGGCTAAGTGTACCTGACTCACTCTAAACAGGCGCTTGTAGGTCCCTCATCTTCTGCTGTCTTCGTTAATTAATCTCTCTCAAGCTCCAAGATCCGGCGCTTCCACAGCGGCCCAGATACACACAAAAGATGTTGCCGTCATCTCAATCCGTACCGGGATTGGGTGAGTAAAAGTATCACTCTATTTATCCATCCTTTTTATATCCTTCCTTCTCATCCCGATTTCGGATTCTGATGACACATGGCGCGAATTCACTTGTCTCTGAGCATCAAAGCCTGATTATGCACTCCAGTAACGCTTGATGATGCTCTATTCATCCATTCCGGTTCCGCACGATGACGATACCGTCTCGCATCACCATTGACGTATCGCGGGGTAACAAGCGCTTGTAGGTCAATCATCTCCCATCGCCCATCTTCGGCCGTTCTAAGCGACGACTCCGGCTTGTCCGAACAGATTTCTGAATATTCCGTCTGTCAATGCCTTCGAGCCTTTTGACGCCGCCCGTCCCAACATCTTTACGTCGCTTTTATCCCGTCCAATACGGATTCATCAACGCTTTACCTCTTAAACGTATAAGCCATATCTCAAACACAGGTATGTCTTTCGTCGACACTTCATTAATATCACTTACCCCAGTCATTCAGTTTTGACCTTGCGACGCGGATTAAATCATCCGCGTCAGGACCTCAGTACTTCGTTAATGTCCACGATACCCTCCGATTTGATTTCACCGGGGTAATAAGCACTTGTGGGTCCCCTTCATTTACTTTTCGTCATTAATTAATCTCTTCATTTCTTGGTCAGCGCTCATGATACGAACAAGAGATGGCTAACATCTTCCCTCGTACCAGAGAACCGTTAGTAGCCCATTGTTGTGTTGAAAACAACCCTCTGACATCTTTCCAGTGTTTTCGAGTCGTTCATCATAGAGCTCGGCATTACCGGAGTCCCCGAGTAACATCTCCTCTGCGGTTGGCTGTATCCCGATTACAGATGAACCCCTGCCTGCTACGCATCGATCCCCATAATAATAATAAGCACTGGTAGGTCCCTCATTTTCGAACACCTTCTATTCATTAACTGATCTTGAGGCTATAGTTATTTTACGGGCGTCTCTTACATCTTTTCAGCGCTTATTGTGACATCTTCAGCCTCCCCTGGGAACCGGTGTCTTCCGAGCAGGTATGTGAGTAAACACACCATTTTTTACCGGTGCTTCTTACATCTTTTCAGCGCTTATCGCTCAATCTCATCGTTTCCACGATACCGCCTCCGCCCGAATATCTCAGGCGCCTCTGCAAGAGTCCCTGGGTACCAATATCTTGAAGCTATACCAGCGCTTCCAAGCTGTTCTGTCCTCCTAGCGCTTGTCACAAAGATATTCATTTCCACGATACCGTCTCAGCCCGTGATCCTCAGGCGTAACATGCTAATCGTCCCGGCGCGCCGATACTACACGTGAAAACCATACGCTCGCCAAGCCCCGGCCCAATTCTAGGTCTTGCGACTCGGAAAAGAGGGTGTTTTCCCGGGTACTAAACATTCCTCCGAGCCAAGGCATGCGTCTGTTTTATCGATCCCTGTGATATTCGATAACGTACTCCCTCCTCCCTGCGCTAGAAGTTTATCTGACATGCACATCTTGATGAGGTGTAGAACTGGGATCGAGCTTGATAAAACCTCGTGTTCCTATTCGCTTGGGTTCATCCTTCTTACGGTGTGCTATTACGATCCGGATGGAGCTCGTGTGACCACCATATGACATTACCGGGATCTCCAAAGCGACGTTTATGTGTATGTGTGGACCAGGAAGTTTAGAAGATAACGACATGCATACTTATTCCGAGGCCCAGAACCCCATGGCACACAGTCGTCTCTGTGCATATACCCACATACGTTCCCGGTGTTCGGACCTTGGCTTCCGGAGAAACAAGCTCTCCATCTCTCGATCGCTCACTCACTTATTTGCGGAGGGGGCTGGGACTTCGGTACCGCAGTATGCTGTTCAGTTGGTTGACACTGGTGACGACATTTCGATCCTTCTACGTCCCGTGGGGTAACAAGGGTTTGAACTTTGTAGGTCCACCCCTTTCATCTCTTCCCTTCACGAATATCACTCATCTTCCGCAGTTCTGAAGCCTCGGAGCATAACCTGCAAGGCAGAGGTCGCGACCCCCTTCAGAAGAAGAGATTCGTCTGTGAATACGTCGTTTCTTCTGTGTCAACGTCTAAGCGCTCGTCGCAAGAATATCTGCCATGCTATTCGATTCTATTATCCTCACATTCCCCGTTTCGCCCGGGAGGTATCATCACAGAGTTGATACTCGTGCACACATATCAATCCCGGCGGCATATCGATATCTCACGTGGAAACAAACGCTCCTACGTCCTCAGTCTTTCCGTTCATTCATCTCGCTCATCTCTTGAAGCCCTACCTCAGTCCCAATTCTAGGTCGCACGACTCGGAAAAGTGATGTAGTCTCCTCGGGCACCAATCATAACTCCGAGTAGTCAAAGACGCATGTCTCTTTACCTACGCCCTCCTGA